TCCTCTTTACCACCATCATCTCGACCACCACAAAGAAAATCCTTAGAGATCCCTGCAATAAGAAGTAGCTTTGCTCAGATTAAAGGAAGAGATGGTATCAGAGGTCACAGACAAACACTACCTTCCATCTCACAGGCTAATGGAATGGATAAAGGAAGATGGTACTAATAAATACTTGTTTTGCTTTTGGGAATCACTTTCCCAAATAAAAGAATGTGGGAAGTGAGGGAAGAAAAAGGGAAAATTTCTTCATCATCTTTTGCATTGCTCTACCGATTTACTTGATGGGAACAAATAATAATTAGAAAAATATTGTTGGCCTCCTCTGTGGTCCAGAATAGCAATAAATGCAGATTTCTTTCCCATCCGAAGCTTTTTAGATATTATTTTACTCAGTACCTTTGTAAGGGTTATTTTACTCCATGCCTTTGCAGACATACCAGCTGTTCAGGCTGAGGTGACCCTATGGCTGCCGGTATGCATTATGATCATAGTATTTCCCCTGAAAGCCAAGGATAAGCTTCTGACACAGCACTTCTGTAATCCAACACGCCTCTCTCTGTGTAAGAATGCTTTATAGGCAGAACTGAGTACAGGGTGGGTATCTGAGCTGTATGAGGCTCCCTTTGGATATTTTGGTGGATAAAACCATTCAAGCCTGCAGAGCAGGCTAGAGTTTTGCCAAATAAGTTGAGATCCCCAGAAAAACTGATGACATTCATCAGGCTACAAGAGAAGGGCCAGCGTCTTTTCCTTATGAATTGCCAGAGCTGTCTTAAATCTTATGGAGACTTTAAGCACTGAAAGAATTATGATGTTCTTCTCCCCCATGAACACATAATTTAAGATGAGTGTGGCCAGGCACAGTGGTTCATGCCTGTAATCCCAGCACTTTGGGAGGCTGAGACCGGCAAATCACAAGGTCAAGAGATCGAGACCATCCTGGCCAACATGGTGAAATCCTGTCTCTGCCAAAAATAGAAAAATTAGCTGGGCATGGTGACACGTGCCTGTAGTCCCAGCTACTCGGGAGTCTGAGTCAGAAGAATTAGTTGAATCCAGGAGGAGGAGTTTGCAGTGAGCCAAGATCATGCCATTCCACTCCAGCCTGGTGACAGAGCAAGACTCCGGCTTAAAAAAAAAAAAAAAAAAAAAAAAAGAGTGTAACTGATTACGAGTAAAGCTCTGATTTTTCATGAGGACAACTTTAATACTTTATTTTAAATGCCAAATATAAAATTATTTCCAGAAAAACTTAGAGATGCCCTTCCCACTTTGTTAAGAATGTGGTTAATTTACCTATTGGATAATTTATCACCATGCATTATGAAGGCCTGGGGTTGATAATTCCCTAACTGGTTTAAACTTAGCCAATATTTTTCATACCATTTGAGATTTATACTATCTTTTGCCTTGTGCCCACTCCAGTGCCCATCCAAGAAAAGAGCCTGTAATAGTGCCTTCCTCTTGCACCTCTTCGAACTCCTCTTTCAGTGGTGTATCCTTAGAGACAGCTTCAACATTTCAAGGGTCCTTCATCACAAACAGTTTAAAAGCATTGATATGCCACTATATCTGCCAATTTCGCTTGGCAAGACTGTGGAAAAAAGCTACAGAATTGGACAGCTCCAGAAAGATTATACTTGGTCATTCCAGGAGGTCAACAGGAGGCTCCATAGCCACCACACACTACTACCTGTATCTGACAATCATGCATATCACAGGTTCCTAATAATCCCCTTGAGGCAGGAGAATAGGGTCTGGAGATAGGGAGCCTTCACTTCAGCCTCTGACTGGTGGGAGCCACGTCTTCATTTGCATAGGGTATAACTTCTCTTCAGCCTCTGATTGGTCACAGGCCAAGCCACCACTTCACCCTCTAATTGGTCACACAGGCCAAGTCTTCATTTAGGTAGCATGTAATTAATAAGAAACCTCCAAAGGGTACTTAAACCCAAGAAGATTTTGCAACCAGCTCTCTTGAGCAGCTTACTAGAGCCCACTCCCACTCTGTGGAGTATACTTTCACTTCAATAAATCTATGCTTTCATCTTCCATTGCTTTGTTTGTGCATTTTGTCCTTTTTTTTTTTTTTTTTTTTTTGAGATGGAGTCTTACTCTGTCACCCAGGCTAGAGTGCAGTGGCACAATCTCCACTCACTGCAACCTCTGCCTCCTGGGTTCAAGCAATTCTCCTGCCTCAGCTTCCCAAGTAGCTGGGATTACAGGCACCCACTGGCACACCTGGCTAATTTTTATATTTTTAGTAGAGATGGGGTTTCACCAAGTTGGCTAGGCTGGCCTTGAACTCCTGACCTCAGGTGATCCACCCACCTCAGCCTCTCAAAGTGCTGGGGATTGCAGGCATGTGCCACCATGCCCAGCTAGTTCAATTCTTTGTTCAACATGCCAAGAACCTGGACAACTCATAGTCAAGACCCTCCACTGGTAATATCCTTGGAAGGGCCTTTGAATAGTATCCTTTAACTACCAGGTTTCTACCATAACACACTTCCTAAATTCAAAATAGGTTTTTAAATACTTTGTAATTCACATGTGCATTTAATTTTTTATTCAGTTTTCTATGTCTTCTACATATGCGTCAGAGCATTTTCTGTCTTTGCTTATAAAATTCAGGGACACAGATGCTAATGCTCTACATTTTTCTTTTTTCTCTCTTTTTTTATCTTTTTGAGATAGAGGCTTGCTCTGTTGACCAGGCAAGAGTGCAGTGGTGAGATCTCAGCTTACTGCAACCTCTGCCTCCTGGGCTCAATTGATTCTCCCATCTCAGCTTCCTGAGTAACTGGGACTACAAGCATGCACACCACACCCAGGTAATTTTTGTATTTTTTGTAGAGATGGGGTTTCATCATGTACCCCAGGCTGGTCTCAAACTTCTGGGCTCAAGGGATCTGCCCATCTCAGTCTCCCAAAGATCTGGGATTACAGATGTGAACCATCATTCCTGGCCACAGTTTTCTTTGGACAATGCTCTGTGCAATTTAACACTCAAAAATATTTTCTGGGCTGAGCACAGTGGCTCACACTTGTAATCCCAGTCCTTTGGGAGGGATAGGCAGGAGGATTGCTTGAGGCCAGGAATTAGAGATTCACCTATGCAACACACAAAGACCCTGTCTCTACAAAAAAATTTTTACAAACTAGTCTAGTATAACAGCGTGCATCTGTAGTCCTAGCTACACCAGAGCCTGAGGAACAAGGATCACTTGAGCCCAGGAGTTTGAGGTTACAAGTGGGCTACAATCATGCCATTGACCAGCGTTGGTGACACAGCAAGAACCCCGCCCTCGTCTCTCTCTCTCTCTCTCTATATATATATAATATATATATATAATATCTATACATATATAATATATGTATATTGAATCATCACCCAATGGAATGGCTGGAATACTGTTAACCAAGGAAAGAGGAGGATAATTAACAGACACCTATAGCAAATCTTTCTGTGACACTGCCAGCCTTTGGCAATGAGCCTCCAAAATACTCATTCAGCACACATAAGCAATTTTATTACTATCATAATCTACATTTGCACTGTAATTAATAAAACCCAATTTTAGCAAGACCTGAGATCATAAGGCTGAATTTCTGCCCCTACCATCTAATCAGTGTGTGATTCTTCCCTATACCATTCAGATCTATTGTTTAGTCCCTTTGTCATACTTGATGAAAGCAGAGTCTCTGGTTAACTACTGCTGACCTTTATACTGAGACCCTGTGGTAGTTAGAGGCCTCATCTCTACAGTTGCTATGGAAACTGTCCCTTTCTCCCCACAACCTATTCTGGCTCTCTGCCTCTACATGGTACTCTTTTTCTGATTGCAGAAGCGGAGGCCTGCACATCTCTCCAAGCTTTTTTCCAGATTCAGATCCACAAATAGTGGGGAGGGGGGGGTAGGGGGGCAAGGGGGCAGGAGGGCAAGAGGGCAGGGGTGCAGTGAAACACCGTCTCATGTGTCATACAGGGTGAGACACCCCCACCAACTGATGTTCTGCCAGTACTCTTATTTCCCCTTTTCTGCTGCAAAAAGGATTTTCAGGGCCATGTCCAGATTGGTTGCAGAATGGACTGGCTGTTTTTCTGTAACACATGCTCCATGGTAGGGACCAGGATTGCTGTGACCTTTTGTTTTGTTTTGAGATGCAACCTCCACCTCCCGGGATCAAGTGATTCTCCTGCCTCAGCCTCCTGAGTAGCTGGGATTATAGGTGCCCACCACCACCCCCAGCTAATTTTTGTATTTTTAATAGAGGTGGGGTTTCTTCATGTTGAGCAGGTTGGTCTCCAACTCCTGACCTCAAGTGAACCGCCCACTTCGGCATCCCAGAGTGCTGGGATTACAGGCCTGAGCCACTGCGCCCCAGGCCGCTGTGAAATATTTAACATGCAGACACTGCCCAATCAGAATGTGGCTCACAGGCAGCTTTGCTGAATCTGGTACTGTGCTCCTTTCTTTACTGTACAATCTCCAAAGTGAAGGCAAATGGGACAAAGACGCCAGTGGTGCTGGAGCCCCAGGGTGAAACATAGGCGGTTCCATACATACATGTATAGAATGATTCGGTATCCTAGATAAAAAAAAGCCTTTGGAGTGTAGAGTAGGTGGAGACACGGAGGAATGGGGGAGGCTAGACTTACAGCACATTTTTACAAAGATGTTCTAGTCAGTCATAAAACAGTGCAAGGCCTCCCCAGTCCTTTCCCAACCTCTGGTTTTGGTCTTAGAACTGTCAACCTCTTCTTTGGTGCAAACATTGTCCCCTCTGTTTCAAGAACTCCCCAGGGAAAGTAACACAACAGTCTCCTAAGGGAGACCCATCTCACTTTGTCACATCACTTGCAGATGGGAAGGTCTTTCCTGGGTTTTACTCAAATCCCCCTTGCTGCAGTCTGAGCTCATTGCACTCGAGTCCTGCACTCAGCAGAGATGGAGAGTAGCCAGCCAACTGCTATCTTCAGAATAACAACTCACCAGGGACTCAAGGCCGGAAGGTCATTCTGTCCCCTCCAATACTGCGCAGCCTTTCAGAGCACTCCCAGGGCCTGAGGCAAGGACAGGGAAACCGAGGATAGAGACCTTGGGCAGGACCCAGGCAGACAGTGACAAGCAAAAAACAAAAACGCCAAACAACGATAATGCAAACACACAGACACAGATGGAGGCGATGATACAAACTCGGAGACAGAGAGGGACAAGATGGCTCCCCTCAGTTCGGATGAGGTTGTAGAATTGCCAGACAGTACTTATCAGGGATACATCTTAACTAGAAGCTTCTTCAGGCGCCGAGGCAACCGACTAGCCCCTCCAATGGGTCCCCCAGAGACCCCGCCCTCACTCAAGTCTGAGTGGAAGCTCCCGCTTGCACGGACTGTTGGGAGGGGTTGTGGGGGGGATGGGGGACACCCACCACTCTCAGGCCCAGCGAGACCGCAAAGCAGACGATTCTAGCTCCGGCTCCGGCCCGCCCCTGCGGCGCCTGTGCCCCGCCCCCTGACAGGCAGCAGCCAATGAGCGGCACCTGCCGCCGGCCTTTAAGAACCGCGCGCACTCTCCCTGCAGTGGACGCTGCAGGCTTAACACTCCGCCGGAGTTACCATGGAGACCGAGGCCGGGCCTGGGCGGCCTCACGGCGTTGCCATGGAGACAACTCTGGGGCTGGGGCTCCGAAGTCCCGGCGAACTGCTGCCACAGAAACCCTCGGAGCCGCTGTGCGAGGCTGGAACCGCGGTGGCTGCTGCCCGCTGGGACCTGCAGAAGCACTCTTTGCTCATTGTGATCGGCGATATCTGTACCGAGAGTCAGCTGAAGGCCGTGCGGGCCCACCTTGAACAAGGTGAGCCACTGTTCTGGCTGTGCTTCAGGTGTCTCCATCCTATGCTTCTCCGCCTTCTGCATTCAACTCCCAATGCATATCCGTCCCTTGAGTGCACTTCCTGAGATCTGCGCCCTTGTCACCTGCATCTTCCATGCCATGTGTCCGTATCCTCTCGCTCTACTAATATCTCGCTTGCCCATCCTTCCCGCACACCCTGTGGCGTTCCGCAGTCTGTCTGAGGCAGGGAGCTCTATGCAGCCCCTGCGGCCCCTCTGGTCACACCCTCCTCCGCAGTGTTTTGGGCCAGGTGTCCTGAAAGTCCTCTCCATCCCCTGGAGAATCCACATCCTAACCTTGCTGTTTCTTCTTTATGGTCCCGGAACCAGTATGAGGAGCTTTCTGAAAGCCCTGTACAAATCTCAAATCTCTGAATGCTAGCAGCCAACCTGAGGGTGACCTTTGTGGCTACCAGCTCCTAAGTCCTCTCTTCCATCCCCAGTGCTGTGCCTGTGGCTGTGGTGCAATGCTGCGGAGCCACCTGCGGGTGGAAGCAAGCCGTAGAGGGTTGGAGAAAAGGAAGGGGGCATAGAAAGACGACATAGAATCCTACTTAGCTGTAAATTGGAAAAGGTAGCTCTCAGTATCTGGCAATAGGTTCTTAGGTGTCACTTCCACCACAACTAAGCAACCTTACAAAAAAAGTCCTACTTATGTATTTATTTATTTATTTTGAGACGGAGTTTCGCTCTTGTTACCCAGGCTGGAGTGCAATGGCGCGATCTCGGCTCACCACAACCTCTGCCTCCTGGGTTCAGGCAATTCTCCTGCCTCAGCCTCAGGCGTGTGCCACCATGCCCAGCTAATTTTTTGTATATTTAGTAGAGACGGGGTTTCACCTTGTTGACCAGGATGGTTTCGATCTCTTGACCTCGTGATCCACCCGCCTCGGCCTCCCAAAGTGCTGGGATTACAGGCATGAGTCACTGCGCCCGGCAAAAAGTCCTACTTATAAACTCATTAATGACCGAGGTTAGTCTAAAGTCTGTCCTCCCCCTGGCTTAGGCAAAGCCTAGACAAGGTAACCGGGAGAAAGATATCACGACTAGACACCTTTCTTCAAGACATCACTGAGGCTGATTGTGGCAACTGCCCATATACCCTCCCTCTCCTTTTTTTTTTAAATTTTTATTTATTTTTATTTTATTTTATTTTTTTTGTATTTTTTAGTAGAGACAGGGTTTCACCATGTTGACCAGGATGGTTTCGATCTCTTGACCTCGTGATCCACCCGCCTCGGCCTCCCAAAGTGCTGGGATTACAGGCGTGAGCCACCGCGCCCGGCCCACCCTCCCTCTCCTTACCTGTTCTGTGAACTTGAAAGTATTCCTGCAGTCCCACCCACCCCCTCAACCCACAACCTTATCTAGAATCCTCTTTGTTTTTCTCCCACAGGAATTCTCTCCTGGAACATTGACCTGTCATCCTTTGACTTGAACCAACAGTTGAGACTCTTCATTACCCGGCATCTAGCTCACTTCTCCTCAGAGGTCAAAGGTTAGGACTAGCATTTTATTTCAATCGTTTGGGTTACAGCTGGTCATGGAAGAGCAGAAATCCAGTCTCCCTGGGAGAAGTGGCCTCGTGGGAGGTTTGGGTGGAGGAGAAGGGAGGAACTTTAAAGAGGAGAAAAGTCATGGAATTCCATAGCTATCCCCACATATTGAATGTACTTTGCAGACATGGTTTGATAGTAGAGGGAGCCTAGAGAACGTAATTTCTCTCTGAGAAGCAGGTTGTTTGTGGATAGCTGTTGACATGCACTAAAGAAATGAGGTACTCCTTTTAGTGATCAATCATCTCTCATGCAAAAATTCACTTTCTTCATTTGTGTTCCCCTTTCTGCATACCCCGGACTCCCTGCTTTCCTTTAAAGACACCCCAGAATCCCCCATTTATCTTCCTAGACCCTTGTTTAACTTTTTTTTTTAGAAGGCTGTTGCCCCGGCTGGAGTGCAGTGGCACGATTTAGGCTCACTGCAATCTCTGCCTCCTGGATTCAGGTGTTTCTCCTACCTCAGCCTCCCGAGTAGCTGGGATTACAGGCACCCACCACCATGCCCAGCTAATTTTTTGTATTTTTAGTAGAGACAGGGTTTCACCATGTTGGCCAGGCTGGTCTTCAATTCCTGACCTCGTGATGTGCCCACCTTGGCCTCCCAAAGTCCTGGGATTACAGATGTGAGCCACTGAGCCCCACCTAGCATTTTTATTTAGGCTGCACAAGTTTCAGGGTTTCTGGTTCCTGCTTTGGCTTAGCCAACAGATCTCCAGAGCAGAGCAGAATCCTGGTACTATAAGATGATGGGCACCATCAAATCCAGAGTGGAAAGAGGGTCTCCTGAATTTACTGCTACAAGATCAAGTTGTACTCCGAGATTTGGCCCAGATCAAAGCTCACATAATGCAGTTTCCCATTCTGCTGGGAATGGGTGGGTTACAGATTTGAGAAAATAAGATTTTAGGAACTATCACTCCATGACAGATATCTGTGAGGAGACTATGGAAAGCTCTACATCCTATTATAAAAGAGTTAGGGCCGGGCACGGTGGCTCATGCCTGTAATCCCAACACTTTAGGAGGCCAACGTGGGTAGATAACCTGATGTCAGAAGTTCAAGACCAGCCTGACCAACATGGAGAAACCCTATTTCTACTAAAAAATACAAAATTAGCCAGGCGTAATACAAAATTAGCCGGGCGTGGTGGCACCTGCCTGTAATCCCAGCTACTCGGGAGTCTGAGGCAGGAGAATTGCTTGAACCCAGGAAGTGGAGGTTGTGGTGAGCCACGATTGTGCCATGACACTCCAACCTGGGCAAAACTCCATCACAAAAAAAAAAAAAAAGAGCTAGGCATCTAGTCATGTTATTGGAAAATGGTGACACACCAATCCATGCAGCTTAATAGAATATAAAATCCATCCAGTTCAACAGCCACTGTGACTGAATGACTGAATTCATATCTTATACAGATAATTCTCAATTATCCAGTATAGTAGTCACCTCTCCTTAATTACCTCTCCTCCTTTTCCACTGCTTCTTACTTCCAAATCTTTGATTATTTCCTGATCACTAATGTCTATAGATGCTGCTGGGAAGTTGGAGAAAATAAGGTTAATATGACTAAAGCTCTATCATCCTAGGAATATGTACAGCAATTTTATATTAATATATGTGAGGCTGACATCTTCCTGATGTGACTGGCTTTCTGTAATGTAGGCCACTCACTCTTTTGAGAATTCTTCTGTTTAGAATTATGCATGTCATGGCTTCCTCTATTATCCCTGATGATGATGCAAATCATCAGTTTTACCGCTTAGTACTCCTTGGAGCTTTGGTGCAGGGCCACATACAGGGATGACAGAGGATGAAATTAATGACTAACAGAAGTTTGTTATTATCTGCTGATGTTAATTCACACTGAATTCTCTAACCTTGTCCTTTGGTTACAGAGACCTGAGAGTAGGCTGGTTTCTGGAATAATATAAGAAATGAAAAGAATTTAAACCAAAGTACCTAGCCATTCTTCAGATTAAGATGCAGGGATACTTGGGAAGACACTTGCAGAGAGATACACAGTTATTCTCAGGCACTTCTTAGAAACAAGCACTAATGTATAAACACCTACTAGACCCTTTCCATCAAAGAGTTTGGCTGGGCCAGGCGCGGTGGCTCACGCCTATAATCCCAGCACTTTTTGGGAGGCCAAGGTGGGTGGATCATGAAGTCAAAAGATCAAGACCATCCTGGTCAACAAGGTGAAACCCCGTCTCTACTAAAAATACAAAACTTAGCTGGGCATGGTGGTGCGCCCCTGTAGTCCCAGCTACTCTGGGATGCTGAGGCAGGAGAATTGCTTGAACCCAGGAGGCGGAGGTTGCGGTGAGCCAAGATCGTGCCATTGCACTCCAGTCTGGGTAACAACAGCAAAACTCCCTCTCAGAAAAAAAAAAAAAAAAAGAGTTTGGCTGTGGTGTATTCAAGGGGCTTAGGGCCGTATACTCCAGATTAGGGCTTACTTTGGCATACTGAATATTTTTAGGTTTGGACATTTTTATCATGGTCTGTCTATGTCACAGGAGAATAGTAGAGAATTTCCTGGAAAAACCCACACTGCTCAAGACAGCCACAGCCCCACCCCTGTTGCCTCCTCTTTCAGCTGTCCCCACAAACAACAGTCAGCCCAGAGCAGCTGCAGACATTGCCCCTCCCTTCAGCCTTCTGTTAGTAAGGACGCAAAGGGACCAGGCAGCTGGGATGAGCTCAAGGGGATATGTTTGTTAGTGCCTTATGGCTTGACTACCCCACAGGCTGGGCCACCATTCCTATCACCTATCCTCAAGCCCTGGGCCAAAATGCTAAGAAAGCAGACAAAAATGTATCCTACAGTGACAGGGAGAGTACAATTATTCCTAGGCACTGC